ACTTAAGACATTAATTGCTCTTGCGCATCAAGGACAATAATTATCAAGCCTTACGCACAAATTCAGACAAAATTTCTTTAACGCATGTCAGTAACCAAACTTTAATTCAATCCCAAAATTGTTCCACAAAGGCGCTTAATGTTGACTTTGTGTCTCACTTGTATCACAACACGCTAAAATTGTTGCCTTCTAAATAGCTTCGGAAAAGCTCAAAGATTGCCCAGACATCTTTGGACTATTTGCCAGCATACTTCAGAAGTTAAAATTTGAAAAGGCAATTAAGTACTGAGTGGAGTCCGATTCTGTTGGTAATAATATGAGTGACTATCAAAATCAGACAACCTCGAGGCTGGGTCTGATTTTATTACTTACAAGTATGATTATAAACTGAATTCGGAGAATCTTGTTTTCTGGCCTTAGAGTGATTCACTTACACAACAACAGCAGATTAAAGCAGATGAAGACTATTAAGAAAGCTTGTAGTATTCCTGCTACCTCAATTATCCATGATAAACGTATCAATAGAATTACACCAAAGATGTTCTGGATTGCAGGAAGGTACACGCCCATAAGCGTACCCATTTTGGCTAGCTATAGTCAAAAAGTAAAGCACAAAAATTATTAACAATTTAATCTTAGTAGCCTGAGAATAAAACTTCTGCTGTGTTTTAAGTTCTTGTTTGGTTTAATATTATCTAACACCTGTAGGTTAATAATCAGGTTATCAAAATGTTCCTTTGATACATTTACTTATTCATCGCTTAAACTGATTTATAAGCATTGAAACTTTCATTTGCAACCACCTCGCTTAAGGTAAAATGCTGACAAGTGACATTCCGCTGCGACAGCGACACAAGGCAGATAAAATGGCAACAAGCAACACAAAAAACATCAGTTGAAATTTTAACAGCGACAAAGCTCAGAGCGAATATCAATAAAATAAAGTATAAAAAACAACAGGTTTTGAAACTCAGACCAGGAACATATGTACACTCTCCTCCACAGGGACCTCTTATAAAAGATCTCTATAGACACAAAAATACAAAGTCAAGTGCTTTTCCAAGCACGATATACCATATAGTAAGACCTCTTGTACGAGACGGCCACTCCCATTAGGGGCCACAAAATTTTAGGCAGATGCCAATAGGGGGGTTAAACTCTAAATATTTCTTGCACTTATTTTAATGATTAATTGTTATTATAACATAGCGTGCGTGCTTGCCCTATATAAGTCCTATTGAGCCGCTATGAGCAAAATCTCTATTTACGCATGCCCGTGCGTAGATAAAGAATTTATTTGTTCATGATGACGTGTTCAGATGCGTTCTTCGTCTCTTTTCCTTATAATTAGTATACCCAAAAATCGACGGCAATGATAAAATACTTTCTAGATTGCTCATGGTTTTAGCTCTACGTTTATCGAGTTATGGATGCACTAGAGTTGCTCTAGAGTTCCTCCAGGCGCTTACGCATCTTTCGTGCTCTCCAAACTTCCCGCATGCATAATTCGATATACGCACCCTAAGCATGAACAAATTGTTAAATTTATTTTAAGAACACTCTCGCTGCGACCCTCAGACTTCATTTATATTATGAAGGGATGTTTATTTACTTTTATGAAAGCTTATTTACTTTATAGGCTTAATACTACTCCGCATGGTGAACTTTTAACCTTATCTATTATTTACGCCATTTTCAAAGAAAATTTGCATAAGACCGAAATGTACAAAAACGACAAATCGCTCACTAGACTCCGATTTGTTCAAAGCAATATGGGCTTTTTGTTTTCATTTTACCTGAGAGGCTGTCGTCGTTTTTGCTCCTTCTTCATCGTCTTCTTGAGTAAGAGCCACAGCTTCGTATCTTGATAAACTCTCGAGCAGCGTCGAAATCCTCGGTCGTCTTTGAATTTCAACCTGCACAAAAGGATTATAAAATGAACAGTGTACTTCCGTAATGAAGTTAAAGACGCTCTAAAACGGAAAACTCTCAAGATTTAATTGATAATATGAACAAAGTTTTAAAATACCTGATATATATAACGCTAGATTTCCCGCGTTCCCGGGAACCAAAACCCCCTGTGAAGCTGTTTTTTCCTAATCTCTCCGGCGCTGCAGGATAAAAAATTCGTAGGAAACCTTACGCGTACACTATCAGCACGAGAGAAAGCAATGTTAAGTCCACTCCAATTTGACAATTTTTTTTACAAACTGTCGTCTTAAACCAGTGGGAAACAACAGGAGAATGCCGGTCTGACAAAAATCCACTGAACAACTGACGTGTGGCAAACTGTGAGAGATATTTTGATCACACGTGGTTAACGTTTCACTTACTGCTCGATAATATTCACCATCAGGATCGGTCTTCGACACTTCATTTCCTTGAACAAACCGAAAACTAAAACACGGCATACTAACAAGCGCAGAAAGCAAACACTGAAAACACAGCTTTCGCTTCACTCCATCCGTGAGTTCTGTTCGCTTTCGTGTGTAGAATAAGAAACAGCGAAAGAAAGGCAGATGGGAATAAGTGAATCAGCTCCTTTAGCAATAACATTAGTCAGACATGACAAACTATACCAATGAGTTTAAAAAGAGAAACAACTTCGATTCTCCTGAAATAAAAGGTTTGAAAACCAATAAATAAATCACTTACGTCTGTCATGACTGCGTGCCGGGTGGTTCCACTGAGTCAGCTTGCTGTGAGTCCTGTGAGATGCATGTTTTCAGTTTTTCGTTTCCTAATATTTCCTCCATCAAAAATCGAATATTTTTATTTTTATTTTTAAAGAGTCTATGACTTACTTTATTGAGCATGGCTAAACTCCTAACATATGTCATTCTAAAAGGCCAGAGGACAGAATTTATCATAATTTATACAGAACATATAACACATGTTGACGAAGCTTATTTCGTATAATTATATCCGAAATACTCAATTTCCCGGCCAGAAAGGGGAAAAAATGCTTCTATATTTTAATACACGTATTATATTTTTAACTCTACAAAGAATAAAGAAGATTTAAACGGCTGTGTGATTAAAGCGGAAGTAAAATATAAATCAGTGAGGACCTGTCTTGAGGAATAAAAGAGTCCTAAGGCGATGAAAACAACATGTCCATGTACAAAATTTTCATGTTTCAAGTGTTTACAAAAACAAGCCTATCAACTTTCTACACGCCAGACTGAGAGTCTTCTCTCTTCACCAGTGTAAAAGTGAGCTTCCTGTATAGCCTTCTTTAACCGTCAAGCAGCTTTGAAATTCCCTGGTTCGCATTGACTTAGAGTTTAAAAGACAGCCACGTAGTGGTAAGTGGAAAATCATTGTTGTGTGTTATGTCTTTGAAGAAACAAAATTAGCTAATCATCTTAATTTGTAACTTACAGGCACTCGCACAACTCATTGTCAATACTACTTGAACAGTCTCTATAATTTTAGCTCTACTTCGAAAACTTTGTAATAAAACTGACTACTACTATACATGACCATACATTGCAATTCCCTGAAAAGACAATGAGCCGGCGGATCTACATGTGAACCTGTTAATAGAATGCTCAATAGCTTTAGTTTGCCCCAATACTGTACGTAGCTAATTAGTTCAAATATTCGGGAACTGATCATGACTTAGACGAAAGAACTTTGATTTCAACCGTTGCGTCAGTTAAATAGGAAAGTAGTTTGTACTTTGTTGCTAATTTGTGAAGGCATCTTGATACGAAGCTAATTCTAAGCGTCGCTCCTGAGTATCTTCCAGATTGGGTCTTTCAGAGGATGAAAGAAGTCGGCTTTTTGCTGTTGCTTTCCTTGGTGTATCAGCCCAAATGCGTAAGTTGTAACTTCCTTTCTATGTGTGACTGTTAACTTTCAGAACTGACAATGAAACCTGCTTAGCAGGCATTCCTACTGAAGAAAAACCTGACTGAAGATTCTGCCTTAATCCTCCATACAGAAGTGCTTTCATTGGCTCTTTTATAATTTTTGAACTTTTTGGTAATTTACGCGTCATATAAATTATTAACCGCTTCCCTCCCCTCGCATTGTACCATTTTCAGTTCCAATTATTTGTTTCGGCCGTAGATCGAATGATCCATTAATCCTCAACCCCTTTTATGATAAAATAAAGGCTAAAAGTGCTAATTTTAACGTGTTTTTGCTTAACGCAGTTGGGCTTAAGAAAACGAGAACACTGGCACAATTCCAAAAAAACTGAAGTATAGAATGTGCGAAAATTCTTTGACTGGCTCCATAACAAAAAAAAACAAACTCCAAAAAATCAGAGAGCTTACAAATGTCACTGTCACACAAGTGTTAGTATTTTCGTGCTTCCCTTGGTAGCTAGCTTAGTTAGCTTTGACGCATGCGCGATCAAGCAAGAGGCAAAGGGTTTAGTGACTGACACCCCGCATTTCACAAAGAAAACGTCAAACACATGACTTAAACGCAATGTCGCTACCAAAATGTCATACCTCAAACAACGCACAATTACAGACTAGGCGAACAAATAAAGTCAGTAAAACTCGCAGATTTCTCTGTCCAAATAACAGTTTCATTATTTCGAAAAAGACACCCGCTGCTTCTAACAAATTTCTCTACTTCGTTAGTGACTGTCCAATTACAATTTTATTATTCTGAAAAAGGCAAATGCCTGCTTTCCAACATCGCGCAGGTTGAAAGTTGCAGTGCGAACCAACAGATTTTTTAAAAGTTGAAGGTTAACTGAATAATTCTCTGCAAACTCCTTTGTTCTAGTTTGTCGTAGGAGGAGAAGTGGTCTCCTTTCAAACTGGAAAGTTTAACATGTCAGATAGCTTTCAAGACTGGAGCTGCAGCAGCGCATGTTCACCACCTCAACACTGTAATTTACCACGCTGCACAAAAATTCCATTCTTCGAAACATTTAGCGCATCAGAAAAGGTCAGTTAACTTTTCTTGACCAGATGCTATAAAATACAACAAGAAACACGTAAGTGTTAAACGTGATATGTCAATGAAGACCATAACATTACAACATTAAAAGGAGCGGACAAAGTATGAATCGCAACCTAAATTTAGTTAATTACGCAAACAAAAGCACCCTCCATCTTTTGCATATTTTATTACCATTATTATTATTACTATTATTATTATTATTATTATTTTATTATTATTATTATTATTATTATTACTATTAATTGAAACTTTCTTTTGAGGTTCGTGTACACGTGTCGCTGAGTCATGGAAGGAATTTTTCACGTGTTCGCTCACCTGCTGCATTGTGGGTTCATTCTGTCAGTACACGTGGATTTGAGGTATGCGCACGTGAGGCAGGTAATGGATCAAATGGAACTGGAATCATAAATTGGATGGCTTTCCAAGATCAACCACAAGTTACATCTGGCAGCATAGCGTTTGGTGGAATGTGGACAACGGAAACCAAGTGCGACAAAGTGACGTTTAAAAAGGTTAGTGTTAGAAGCACAAGAAAAAGCGCGGAAAATAGATTATACTTTTTCATTTTTGCTATTCACTACTAGGTCATCTATGTTGCAATCCAGTTGAGCCTGTGTCTCTGTTCAACATTTGTGATGTCCTAGCGACTATAATGTTTGCCTTTTATCTTACGCCTATGTGGATTTATTCATTCCTCAGTACATGTGTGTATGATTGATTCTATTGAGTTCGCGAGACCGATAAATCAAACAAAAGAAACGTTTGTCCTATGATTTTCCCTTTGATATACTGACAAAGATTTTAAAAATTCCAGAACTTTGCTGCGAGGCCCTTTGTTTTTGTCTCGGCGAAGTACACTCGAGCTACAAAACCCAGTGATGCAGTGTATGTTTGGTTAGAGAACGTCAGTTCCAGAAGCTTTGAGGTGTGCATCAAGGAATTCTTACCATTTGATGGAAAACACCAAGATACAGTAGTGGTGGGTATGCCTGTTTGCTTTTCAATTGTTCCATGGCTCGCATAGCTAGATTTTACTGACGAAAAGTAAGAGCACATGACTATCATTGTCGTCATTATTAGCACCTTATTCATTATCATTATCATTATCATCATAATCATCATCACGATCACCACTATCATCAATATCATTAAAATGTATCATTGTTATCGTCATCTTTATCATTAGTCTTATGTAGCATCACTATTGTTATTATCGTTATTATCATTATTACCTTAAGGACTGACATCATCACCATCACCATCAACGACTCTCCAGTTCTCTGGTGTTTTTCTGGGTCTTTCAAAGCCATGTCTCAGCAGCTTCCCGCAGATTAGAGATACAACACTTTCGATCCGCTAGATATGAGCAGTACCAAGGATGGCTGACAACTATACCTTCCAAATATGCAAGGCAGACTAAACCTCCCATACCAGTCATTTGCATTCTTCGAGATAGTTCCAAGTGCACCAATCGCGATGGGTATTACTACCACTAGCCTCTTTGGATTCTTTTAATTTAAATTTGAGTGCTAGGTTTTGATACCTTTCCACCGTCTCCTCCTCAGTAATAAAGATATTTTGGTCCGTTGGCACAGCAATGTAGATAAGTGTTCCCTCCTGTGTGCCTTTGTGCACCACAGTAATATCTGGTCGAGATTACCTCGGCCGCTTGTTCGTAGGAAGATAATAAGTCATATCCCAAGTTATCCTCACTTCTCCATTCTCTGCAACTGGTGAAGGTAATGGTAGCCATACTTTCTGCAAAGCTCCCAGTGTATATATTAATCTCTCTGGCCAAGTTAAGCATCCTTAAATACGCCATACTGTTTCAGTGAGGTCACCACAAAATCTGTACATTGGTGTGTCAGACGTTTTATCTATGCTGTGCTTGACAAAAATTGCTCTTAAAGCTTGTTCTTAAGCGGTAAGGATCAGTTCTGTTCCCTTTTTTATAAAACCATTCCTGAACCATCTCCAGAACTGCCTTCCAGCTACCTGATGTTTGCCGAGCAAACTCTCCATGTAGGGCTTTTTCCTTCCGATTCCTGACTTTCTCCTCCTTCTTCTGGTAGTCCTGAGGGTTCCTTTCTTCAAAGAGCACCTTCTCCTTCAAAGCCATTTGCAGCATCCTCTCTGTGCTCTCTCTCTCAGGTAGCAATGCAAGAAATTGCATTCACTCTTTACAACTCCTAAATACCAGTGAACCCCCTCCCTCTTCCTTCCTCGATGGATAGAGACAGTCTGGCGACATTTTTTATGGNGTACATTGGTGTGTCAGACGTTTTATCTATGCTGTGCTTGACAAAAATTGCTCTTAAAGCTTGTTCTTAAGCGGTAAGGATCAGTTCTGTTCCCTTTTTTATAAAACCATTCCTGAACCATCTCCAGAACTGCCTTCCAGCTACCTGATGTTTGCCGAGCAAACTCTCCATGTAGGGCTTTTTCCTTCCGATTCCTGACTTTCTCCTCCTTCTTCTGGTAGTCCTGAGGGTTCCTTTCTTCAAAGAGCACCTTCTCCTTCAAAGCCATTTGCAGCATCCTCTCTGTGCTCTCTCTCTCAGGTAGCAATGCAAGAAATTGCATTCACTCTTTACAACTCCTAAATACCAGTGAACCCTCTCCCTCTTCCTTCCTCGATGGATAGAGACAGTCTGGCGACATTTTTTATGGTGTGTAAACAGCCATTCAGTGCAAACATAACTACTATAAACAGCAAGGATGACAAGGAATAACTTGAAAGTGTTCTTTCTGATGTCGACCTGCTTAAGCTTCGCGTCATCTGATGTCAACACTGTCTTCAAGTTCATCATGCTTTTGCTGAGAGATCATAATCTTGTCTCTTGTCTTGTTTCTGCTCAGTTAATTCTGTTAACTCAATGTGGTGTTAAGAGTTTTCCATGTACAAGTCTAGCATCCTATTTCTTTAGCCTCGCCTCTTTGGCTCACTTCTGATGTAACACTTAAACAGTCGTTTGCTGTTCTCCTTTCACCATCTCAAACTCTTTTGAAGTCGTTCAACAGTAACAGGATGACCACCGGGCCTGCGTTCCTGATCCACAGGGCACCTGCCATGCGCGACACCTACGATGATCACCCCAGGTCTGTTGACGTTGTCAGGGTAAAATTGGACATTCTCTCATTAAATACGTTGTGTTTTAAGGTTTCCACTAACCAATAGTTTATCGTGCCACCATCACCAGACGGATTGCTAACCAAAGCTCAGAGAGATCAATATACAAGATAGCCTATACCGTGCCAGACACCAACCTGGTGTTTTCTTGTATAGAGGGACCAACGTCCATTTACAATATCCTCGTGGTTTCGGAACCTCGACGATGGTGGCATAGGGGTCGTTGGCTTATTATTATTAAACACATACAAACTACATTGTGTTTTGCCCAGCCGACACACACTGAATGGAAATACGCCTGCACGTTATACATGTATCTTACTATGTGATTTACATAAACTGATAAAATTTTTCCATAAACTGTTAAACGTAAATAACAGTGTCTTGACGTTTACGTTTTTAAAATTTTATCTTTACAGGACTGGTTCGCGTTAGTGGGGAATGGTTCTCATTTTAATCTGACCATGACAGGAGAAGTTACCTTTCCAAACCTTGGCACACCGACATCATATGACAACTTTGGATTCTGTCAAGTACCTTAATTTTAATTTAATACTTACAGTTTGTCGGCTCCATATTATGATTTTGACAGTAGCTATTTGTCATTAAGTAAAAGCTGAACACCTGATAAAAGAAATCCTCACTCGACGTCAATCCTTTCACCGCGTATGCTAAAGTGAACAACATAGTGTTATGAAGCTATTCTAACCTTGGAATATATAATCAAAATACTGCAGTATTAAACCTCTTTGACAGCCTTTTAAAAATGATAGACTATGTTTTCTTAATACAGCATTTTACTAAAAAAAAGGAGGAGATGTGAAATTTTTCCTTCTGTTTACTTTTGACAGAGAATGAGTTAAGTGTTTAAGTCATGATCCGAAAATAGCTCATACCATTTTCTGACTTAATCTCATTTTGGGAGTCAGATTTGCGTTGCCCTGGCAGTTTTATCAAATGAAGATGTAGTATGTAATGAACTGTTATACCCTTATTCACTGTTTTCACAGAATATTCATTACAACACCACCTTCTACGCGTCACCTGTTGTCCTGGTTTCAGTTCATCACTATTACAACCGCAACATGAAAAACGTCATTTTACCAGAAAATAATATTGTCACGGCATGGGTGGAGGTACGTTACTTTTCTACAGATGTTCTTAAAATAATTCTCTGGTTTAAAGGTGAAGTATCTCATCGCAAAGAGTTTCATTCTTTTCCAGGAAGTTGGCCTAAAATCGATGAGGATTTGTGTCAGAGACTTGAGTGGAACAGGACGGAAACATGACCCTCTTTCTGTTAGTTATATTGTAACCGGAGGTAAGTAATGCACAGTAACAAATTCTATGACGAGCTTGAATGGTCATTTTACAAGATTCATGAAAGAAGAAAGGAAATGTAGGCATGGATTTTATCTGCAAAATGTTGGACTAAACTTACTATCCTAAATCAAAAGTTTACACTTAAGCCGTTTTATTAATTATTGTTTTATTAATTCTCCCAATTGGGATTTTCAGAATTAATTTACAAGAACTCGTCAGGCTAAGTAACGTTCGAAATTGCTAAACATTACATATATGAACGAAATCAACTACGAGATAAAGATAACCAACAGAAGTTGACGAAGGAAAAGGACAAGGCTTTGGCAGGATTGCAACATCACGAGTCAGAAGATGTTGAAAAAAACTGAAATTCTTCAAAAGCAATTACATATGACACTGCTGTTAATGTCTTTGGTAAACCCAATCGCAAACACCAAGATTGGTTCGAAGGCAGTAACAAGAAGCTGAAGACCTTGTTAGAGAAAAGAACTAATGCAGGGTGAAATAGCTGGATCAAGCAGGGCAAAACCGACCGGTAGTCGACGGAATCTACAGCTGTACACCAGAGAAATGAAGTCTCAATAGTGGGAAGCAGAGGCTGAAAAATTGCAGCAGGCGGCAGAAAAAAACGATATGAAAGTCTTTTACAATTGGCTGAAAGAAGTGTATGGACCACTGTAGAGGGGTACAACACAGCTTACTGCCCTTGATGGTGAGACAGTAAACCATGAAAAACCTGAGATTCTCGATGGGTTTGCAAATCACTTTGACCAGCTACTCAACATATCAAAAGAGGTTGATCGCTCTGCCTTGGACACTATTGCACAGTGGCCAAACATCTCATTCCTTGATGAAAAAAAATGCAAGAAACTGTTGGATGCCATCAATGCAACAAAGGAGGTTGGCGCAACACCACTCTGCGATATGTTGGATATCCTCAGCAACTTGGCGTAGACGTGAATCAATGTCCTTTGTCGCAAACGAAAAATATATCTTTGTGTTATAAACGTACGATTCGATGTTACTTAACTTGAGGACTTCAGGTAGACCGTTCGAGTACAGCTAAAAAGCGTTGGGCGGAGAATTGGGCCCTGAGGTACGCCATGTATTATAGTAAGTGGTTAAATCACGTAAGATGGAGGTCTTTTTTTGTTTTTCAGACCTGAATCCTTGTCTTAATGTCAACTGTCCATCTTTCGGGGTCTGCAAGACATACAGTGCTCATGAAGCACGCTGCGTGTGTTTTGACGACTGCCCCACCTATCAGGACCCAGTATGCACTGCCAACGGAACAACTTACGACAACAAATGCTGGCACGAGTTGAGCTACTGCAGGGGACTGGACAATAACCTTGTTTACCACCCTGGGAGCTGTGAAGGTTGGTNTTTTACAATTGGCTGAAAGAAGTGTATGGACCACTGTAGAGGGGTACAACACAGCTTACTGCCCTTGATGGTGAGACAGTAAACCATGAAAAACCTGAGATTCTCGATGGGTTTGCAAATCACTTTGACCAGCTACTCAACATATCAAAAGAGGTTGATCGCTCTGCCTTGGACACTATTGCACAGTGGCCAAACATCTCATTCCTTGATGAAAAAAAATGCAAGAAACTGTTGGATGCCATCAATGCAACAAAGGAGGTTGGCGCAACACCACTCTGCGATATGTTGGATATCCTCAGCAACTTGGCGTAGACGTGAATCAATGTCCTTTGTCGCAAACGAAAAATATATCTTTGTGTTATAAACGTACGATTCGATGTTACTTAACTTGAGGACTTCAGGTAGACCGTTCGAGTACAGCTAAAAAGCGTTGGGCGGAGAATTGGGCCCTGAGGTACGCCATGTATTATAGTAAGTGGTTAAATCACGTAAGATGGAGGTCTTTTTTTGTTTTTCAGACCTGAATCCTTGTCTTAATGTCAACTGTCCATCTTTCGGGGTCTGCAAGACATACAGTGCTCATGAAGCACGCTGCGTGTGTTTTGACGACTGCCCCACCTATCAGGACCCAGTATGCACTGCCAACGGAACAACTTACGACAACAAATGCTGGCACGAGTTGAGCTACTGCAGGGGACTGGACAATAACCTTGTTTACCACCCTGGGAGCTGTGAAGGTTGGTAAGAGAGACCCCCTAACACAGTCCTCTAAGTAAGAAAAATGAATTGGTGCATGAGACAAAACGCTATTGTCCAGTTTTGGAGTAGGCGGCGACAATTAATTTTCATAGCGAATACTTAAAACTTATAACTTCAAAGGGATGAGTTTCGATCTAATTTGCGTTTGTGCTCTTTTCAAAAGGTTTCCCAGTTGTTTGTTAGTGGCAGCAATGAAACTGATCGAATTGATGTATGAAACAAAACGCTGTCGCCCAGGCTTAGCTAATTTTCACAGCGAGTTCTTCATTCAATTCAATTCTTCATTTTTTTATTTATTTACACTGTATAGGACACTTACACACTATTATATTCTAAATAAAAAAAATAATAATGAATAATCCATGTTCTGGCTGAGAAGTGGTAATGAACTTATACGTGTAGTTTTCAAAGAAGCAAGAGCTTTCTAGTTGGTAGTCTCCTTCGCAGGCGCTCAAGCCGGAGTCATGCAAGCTCCCCGTCCACACTTGGGGACGGGGAGCTTGAGTGACTTCGGCCGGAGCGGCTGCGGCGAGCCGCTATCTAGTTGGGGAACTCCACGTTAAAAAAAATGGCAACAAAGAAAACAAAAATTAAACAGAGATTTCTGAGCAAGTAAAGCAGCAGTAATCATGTTTGATTGATCAAGAGATAGTGTTTCCATTTTTTGTTAAACTTGATATAGGGTAAACAGTTGAGACTAAGTAACTGTAACTATGAGAGGATGGCTTTAAGTCTAATTTACGTCAAATACTCTTTTCGAAAGGTTTCCCTGTCGTTCGTGGCCGCGTGGACCTTCATCGAATCCCAAAGTGGACCGATTCCACCTGCCAGACAGTGGATCTCCCGCCCTATCGCTTCTACCCGGATAAGAAAGTTCATGTCCAAATTACTGTCAACCATATGAAATTAAATGACTCTGTTTCAGTCCACGATGCTGTCACGTCATGGACTGAAAGTGTCAACACTCAAAATTTCACAGTTTGCGTCATGCAGACAGGAAGGAACAGCGGAGAGAGCTTTAATCCCTTCGCGACAGTTGATTGGTTGGCATACCAAGGAGCACCATCCAATGGAATAACGGGAACTATTAAGATGCAAAACTGGTGGTCTGGAACAAAATGTGAACATGCAGCTTTTCCCAAGGTACAGGAAACGTCAAAATGAGCCTGTGATGACAGAGAATGTTTAACGATTGTGTTCCTTCGTTAATAGGATGATGGCGTAGGTAGGTCTTTGTGTGTACAATTTCCCTACTCTAAATTTTTAATCTGTACTTTCTTAAATCTTTACAGAACAAGTTCAAGGAGACACCTATAGTTCTCGTGAGCGCGGAACATTTGAGGACTGGAAAGGAATATGATGCATCCCTTATGTGGACAGAAGATCCAAATAAGGACTCATTTAAAGTCTGTCTTCGTGAAATGCAAAACTTTGATGGAAAACATGAAGACATTACCGTGGTATGTACTCGTATTAAATGTCTCAAAAACCATATTGTTTTTAAAAGTAAAGTATAATGTTGGTGCCCGGCGCTGGATAAAAACCGCGGGCAAAACCGGAAGGTTTCAGTGCTCTTATAATGTGACCTGCATAGAATGGCATTAATGAATATAAGCAAAGAAGAGGAAAGTTTTGATTTTGATTTTGATGCTCTTTAATTATTTTATTTCAGAGTTGGCTGGTATTTGATGAGCTGAGCAAACCGTTCTTCACTGAAAGTGATTCTGTCGGGTTTTTCAACACAAAGCCACCAAAAGACAAAGATAACAACGCTTATTGCCAGGCAAGTGAAAGGAGGAAAACACCGATGAGATACAAAAAAGAAATAGAAATACACTGCGTCTTATGCTACACTAATAAAAGAAAAGAAAGTCTGGACAATTAAGTAAAAAAAAAAATTGAAGACAGACCTGCGCGCAGTTGAAATACTTTTTCTGTCGCAACTATTTCTAACAGTACAGGACCATTCCCAGGTTATAAGCACAATAGTGAATGTCAGGAATAGAAAATATAACAAGAACTGTCAAGAATTCTAATGATTCGTTTTTAATGGCAGTTTGTGAAGTTTGAAAGATCCTACAACACAGCACCCTCAGTGATACTTACAGCCAATCATAACAGCACGGCTCCTGGAAACTCCGTACCAGTGCGCAATGGGATTGCAACGTGGATCGAGGTACAGTATGTTGCCCAGTATCCGGACGGTACCAGTATCCGGACACTTGAAACAAAAACTCAATTTTTGAGGCGCCCTTTTCAGTTCTCGTTAAACAAAGTATTTCGAATGAAAGCTGAACATTTCAGCTTTAAGATGAAAGTTTTGGCGATTTGAAAGCTTGCGAAACAGTCGCAGAAGACGCCGTTCTGTTCAGGTGAATAAACTTTTCATGGCTAATATTTACGCTGTTTACTGCGCAGTAAAGTTAGTGCTGGTCAGAAAAGGGAGGGTAATGTGTGTTATTTTCAAAGAAACTGTTTTATTTTTAAAGTGAAGATACTTAAGGAAGTCAGGTTTTCAGAAAGTTTATTAATTCTCCTTGAAATTCGATTTGTTTGGAATAACGGAAGCCAGAAACATTCACTAAGTTTTGATGTCATGTGCCCAGTATCCGGACAGTTTTTTCTTTGCTGTACACAATCGATGAATTAGCTGTGTACATTCTCCGGATAAGATTTATTTCATATCAGTGACTATAATTAAAGCTTAGGATATATGATATAGTCGTAAAATGTAACTCTACTCAACTCCGTATGGAAATTTTCTTCACTCATTCAGAGGCGACTTGATTTCGTGTGCGCCGCTTCTTTCGCGTGACTGCATTTTCTATATATAACTGAAAGCGTCCGAGTTGAACCTGGAATTCTCATACTTTTCCCAGTTGGGACTGCTAGAATGGGGTTGCAATGGTCTAAAAAATGTCACAAAGGGATTGAGAGATGTGAAAGAAGGAGGAATTAGTGCTAGAAAAGTAGGCTTATTGTGGGGACTGAGCATGAAGAAATCAACACTGCAGGTCAGACTAAATAGGAGAGTGACCTTTGACCGTCGGGTTGAGGTCCCTTCCCCAAGCTTGTCTTTAAATAAAAAATGAAGAAAGAAAGTCGTTTGCAGATTGGCTAATTGAGCTTGCAAACTGCGGCTTCGGGATGTTCACGGATGCCTTCCTTAAATCAGTGAAAAAGTTCCTAGACAAAGAAGTGAGAAATTATACCATTTTTAAAACAGCGGCTCGCGTTCCCCACCATACCCCAGTCATTTGTTATGTTTTATTTCACGATGCTAGGTTATTTTTTCGGAATCGATTGCCAGACTACTTTGCAAGTGCAAGAGAAGCTTATAAGTCGCTTGCCTGTCGAAATTTATGTACAATTACGTTGTTATTGTTGTGTCCGGATACTGGGCCAGCTGTCCGGATACTGGGCAACATAGGAGCTCTGCAAAAATATTAATTTAGCGATGGAAACAAAGGCAAAAAAGTTAAACTGTCTTTCGTCATATTAAGGACTAGATAGATTTTTTCTGGGCCAAATTTCAGAGCTCTTGCGATTAACAAAGGAAAGTTATTGCAATTTTAAACTGAAGTGTCCGGATACTGGGCAACATACTGTACTAAAAGACAAAATAGGATCTTGGGATGTGTCTCGATCATCTCTTAGGAAAATATCAACCCCCGTCATAGTTTTTAAGGTAACTAGACTCGCCGATAGGCGACTTCACTGGGCTGCCCGGCATAAAACCTGTGTTGCATGAAACAGAGACGTTTTCTAGAACAGGCAGTCAACAGCTTATAATATAAGGAATGAACCAATTAAAGCAATCCCGATCGATCCACCGGCCTCATTCATCCGACTACACCTACTATAAATAGATGATAATCTTACTTTAATATTATGGTCGACACGAAAACGCATTTTGCCACAAGATAAAAATGTTATGTTTCAAGATTTTTTTTCCTTTCGTTTCTTGTTATTAATTTGTCTACAACTGAAAGGAATTAGCTGTTTGCATTTTCCCACCTCACAAAATTTAAAGATTTGACTACTCAGTCGACGTCGATTTCATCGGAAAGAACTTTAAAAAATATGTAAAGAGATCAACCGAAGATTTTCACAATTTTTTTATAATGTAATATGAGTTGAAGATCCGCTATTTTTGTCAGTCGTAACTAACGTATTTTCATGGAAGGCAATTATTCTATTGTTTACTCCTCCGAACTTTAGGCGAAACGCTTTTCACAGCTAAATCCGTGGTTTGCTAAAGACTGAACTAAACGCACCTTGAATTTCAGTAGCTCGTGACTTCGTACTCTAATCAATCGTGCTTGTTGAAGGGGAGCAGGAAAACATGGAACTTGCGGAAGAGTAGCATAACAAGGTCACGCATAAATTTTATTCAGATAAAACTGACAAGGTACAGATAAAAACAAAAGCAAAAACTCTGGACCATACTGAGAGCAACTGAAAGCTATAGGAAGCAAAGTCACCAAACCCTGCACTAGTGAGTGACTTGCCTTGCTCTTAAACGCTTTTCTAATTCTCTTCACTGCTCATTTGCCCTCTCGTCAAACTGAAAACGCAAGCTTCGCAGGCTATTGAACTTGTTGGCAAAATTCTCGAAGTGTAAATTCCGTCGTCCGAGTCTTCTTTACCCTTATGCAAACTTTAGGCGTGTGTTGTGTTAAACAGAAGGAAATATAGCAATGAAAAGGCAAATTGCGATACTGCGCTGAAATGGGAAAAAATACTTTGTATGAAACACGGAACGCCTTCTGGGGTAAACTTGGTGAACAATTAACAGTGCCCGTATTGAAAAGTCCCCGGATATTGGGTAGACGACCGAAGGGAACCGAAGTTATAACTGGGCGTGCCCTGCAGCTCAGTAAAAAGCAAAACTCTGCTGAAATGGTGTCTGCCATAACAAGCATACGCGCTCGTTATTTACCTTAGATAATGCTAAGCAGCATAACTCTTATATCAGCGACACCACTCGTCGAATCGAATCACAGGCAGGAAGTTTACGAAACGGGAAATCTAAGATTGTGCAGTGACCTCTCTCCTAAGCAGGGTCTCCCGTTGGGATTCTAATAAAAATCTTCAAAAAGTAGGCGTGCGTCGGACGATAAAAAGAGGGAAAAGGCGGCTTCCCATCGTCTCCAGTGCCCTTTCTTTTCTTCCTTGCCCCAACCTCCTTACGACATAAAAGGAGCCTATGTGGAGGAGGAGGTGCACGGGACCACTTGCTTTTTCCTCGAGTTGACGCAATGATAACATTGTTGTTTTATTAAAGTTGTGTCTATCTTTATAAAGAGTGTACTTGTTTTTAAGTTACCAGTGGGAAGGTTGTTAGACAGCTGTCGCGTTTAAAGAGGAGTCTTTTGCAACAGTCAAATGTGCTTCTACTTGCTACGTATGCGTAAAGCAACCCTAAAGTAAGCAATATTTCAATAAGTTTTGATGATCGCAGTTCGCTAGCTATAATCCTTATTTGCAGAACATAAACGCAACAGGGTTCAGGGTGTGTCTGAAGGAATTGTACGAAACCAGATACGATCCCGTGTCAGTGAATTATGCAGTGCTAGCAGGTCAGTTAACAAGAAAAGTACGTTATAGTATGACTTAGTCGATACAGTTCACTCAGGGCAACCTATCATGTTTTGATTAGTGGCAGTCATACTTCACTTCACGTGTACAGATTTCACGTGAAATCATCGCTTAGCTTTTTTTTTGCATACAAGATAGCATTTTCCCATAATGGAATTTTCTTACTTCGCAGACATTTGCCACGTATGACTCCTCGTCTTTGCTGTCAGTGCATTGACGTCTTCAATAAGTAACATACATAAACTTTGGGCATTAGCCAATAGCCATAAGCTAAAGGCCAGATCTTAAAATTTACGTTTCCACAGATTTCTGTGATCCTGGATGGAGCTATTTCAATGGATTCTGTTATTTGACGAGTACCAAATGTGTCAACTGGACAACAGCTCTCATCAAATGTCGTCAGGAAAACTCGGTTCTCGTTGATGTGGCCAACGATGAGGAAAATGTATATATTCAACATAGCCACGGAGGACAAAATTCCTGGCTTGGCTTGAATGACATCTCCATGGAGGGTAACTTCTCTTGGGCAGATCGCGGTGAGGCAAACTTTACAGCTTGGGCAAAGAATCAGCCCAATAACTTTAATGAAGAAGACTGCGTACATGCAGTGGGTTTGAAATACGGCTATGAATGGAATGATGTGAAATGTAGTGATTGTCATCAGTACACTTGCAAGAAAGGTAGGATGCTAAAATCGTTTCTATTCATTTTGGCTTTTGAGGTGTTTTTCAGTAACAGTCACAGATTTATCTATTTTAAGCAAGGCGATAGCATGTGATCCCACTTTCAGGCGTGAAAGCGGACAAAGGCCACCTTCATAGGCTTTTCACAGAGTAAATGATGTTTTCAAAATTCAGCTATGGATAAAGAAAACGTTTTATGCGTGGTTAACATGTAGCACTAAGGCAACAAAACATTTACCAAAAAGTAGTCCTGGCTTTTATATCAGTGTGGTATTGAATATTTATATGTATATTTGAAAATTAGATTTCAGTGAATGTGAAAGTAAGACGTACAACTGTCATCCACTTGCTACATGTGTCAATGAACGCGGGTCCTATTCATGCAAGTGCAAGACTGGGTACGTAGGAAATGGACATAGCTGTCGCCATCCAACCCCACTGAGATCTTGCTCTGAAATCCGGAGATCTGTTAGCAGCAGCGGAAACTATGTGATTGATCCCGATGGCTTGGGAGGACTGGCACCATTTACTGTGTATTGTGACATGACTGACAAGAATGGTGTTGGCGTGACAGTCATTAGTCACGACAGTGAGAGCAGAACAAAGGTAACAGACAATAAGTACACAAGTGACATTCATTACACAAGAGCGAGTCTGTCTCAGCTGGCCAGTCTCACCAGTGTCTCCTCACACTGTGAACAATTCATCAAGTACGAGTGTTATCATTCTGTAATGTTCAGGTGGGGAGTGGCCTGGTGGGTATCACGTGATTCTGCTAAGATGACGTACTGGGGTGGAGCATCTCCAGGTAGTGGTAAGTGCGCATGTGGGATGAAAAACGCCTGTGCAAACTCCAAGTATGGTTGTAACTGTGACAAAAATGATTCAGTGTGGCGCGAGGACAGCGGTCTCCTGACTGACAAGACGAAGCTTCCTGTAAAGCAGCTCAAGTTTGGAGATGTTGGCGGAAGCGCCGAGATGGGCTACCACACTCTGGGGAAATTTAAGTGCTATGGCACACCATAAGAGGCATACTTTTTGAAATTAAGGCACACCTATCACAGAATTAATCAGTCAGAGTTATGCATGTAAATGCAATATTTAGGATTCTGAAGCAGAATATAAGGATCATAAATATGCAGAACTGATTTAACAGATCGCGATTGCCTCATGTCAGGTAATTGGGATTCCTGAACCCGACTGAGAAATCTTTGTATGTGGAATCCCTCATCCGAGATATTATTTTACTGTGGAAACTAGAATCCTGGGCTTTAAAATTCGGAATCCAACTTAAGAAATCCGAAATTCTGCTAATATTTGGAATCCGAAATCCACAGCGGGGAATCTAAAATCCTAGTTTTGGATTACCTTACGTGAGGTGAAATTGAGCTTTCTAAACTAATGATTAAATGATAGCATTAAAAAGGGTATTTGCGTCTCAGACTCTGTTTCTTTTTTAAACAAGGACTGGTAACTAGCTTTTAATAATAAAACTCTGCAGAGCTATGTATATGTACACAGATTGCTTTTACTTAGATACGCTGGTTCCTTTTTGAATTTGCTTGGTAATTACTTAGTGATGTTGATAAGCTTTACACAGTAAGTTTTCAAAGCCAGTGAGGCCTAAGTGACACATGGAACTAAAGACTAGGGGCCTCGATCAGATTTTGATCTAGATTTTGAGTAAATTATAAAATAACCAAGGTCTCTCCTCTTTTGGCCCCCGGGTTTTTCCTTACTCTAAGGAAAAGAAGTAGGAGAGGCCGAAAAAGATAGGCCTTATGTCGTCAACAGGATGAGGGGATCCCAATAACGACTCCTTTTCAGGAGCAATAAAAGTTGCAACCTTTTCTTTTGGAGGAAGGCACTTACTAGTATGGTGGAACGTACTGACAAGGCATTTAATTAGTATGGAGGAACGCACTCTTTCCCTAGGTTATAACAGTGGGTGACGTCATGGACTCGACCCTTATGCATATTAATAAAGGAAACGCACACCGAACGCAAAGGGAACCCACCAGCGAGGCTTAATTCTAATGATTGTGAACTATTTTCACCGGTCTCACCTACACTTCTTTAATGAGAATGGGAGCCCTGGCGGACGTTCGCAGCGGCAAAAGGGACAATGAAAAAGGGCAGAGAAGGGCGGGAGAAGCGCTGGGAGAGACCACATGCACAGGGAGGATAAGTACAGATGAGGCAAGATAAGAAAGTTGTACTTCCAACGTCGAGGAAACATGCCGCGCGTTTGCGAGAAAGAAGAACGAATTGATAATGTATTCTCCTTACATACATTACAGTGAGACCGCTGACAATAGTGAGCTATTTTCACTGGTCTCACCTAAACTTCCATGATGAGAATGGGAGCCCTGGCGTCCTTGAGCTTATGGCATCAGTGAAATACACGAGAAACAGGTAGTAAAAGCACTAGGCAATGCAAAAGGGATCCAAAATAACCTTACCCAAAGCACAAGACCCCATACTTAATCTCCCAAAATCTAAAATAAGGACCCAAACTGAGAGAAAAAACCAGCTACCCAAACTTAAAAGGAAGAAGTGTCAGAAGAAGATCGTTTAACCCCTGAGGGACGAGAAGGAAAGACACAAATCAAATTCTTGAGGGAGTCCAAAGAGGGTTTTTGACTTGACAAACTAGAAGCTTCTACGGACACAGAAGAGGATGAGGTCGTAATAGAAGATAGGACCTATAGCGAACAATTAGGGAGAAAAACCCGGTTGACCCATATACCAGGAAACAAATGGAATAAGCGACTCATGTAAATAAAAGAAAAAGTGAACTACCTATGGGGAGTAAGGTCTCTTAAATGTAGCAACAAATTACTACTCGGAGAATAAAGAAAGTTACAAAAAAAAGAGTGCATATAGACTAGAAAAGTTCAAAAACCAACGGGACCTATTGGTAACCCACGGGGACAAAAGACTCAATAAACAAGCGGACTGTGCTATCCGAGAAAAATAAAAACCCAATAAAAAAACGGGAGTCCTTCTGTTAACCCGCAAAAATAGAACTGAACCGTCAATCAACAAGCGGGACCTTCTGTTAACCCGCGAAAACAAAACAAATTCAATACACAAGCGGGCCTTCCGTTAACCCACGAAGACAAAAACAGTAATAACGAGTGGAAGCTTCTGTTAACCCGCAAAAATAGAAACCTTCAATCAACAAGCGGGACCTTTTGTAAACCCGCGAAAATAAATAACAGCAAATAAGCTGGACCTATCCTGCGCAGTTGGCGGTATTGTGTGATGCGACAAGATATAAGATAACTAAAATCAACTATAACCGAGGAAAGAAAATCGAAGGGCGAGCGGAAAAGATAAAGGCTACAATGTGCGAAAGACAAGTGAAAATAACGTAGCATGCCAAAATGAATACAGTTGACCCCCGATAACTCGAACCCTCGCTGAGTAACTCGAACCTCGCGCTAACTCGAACCAAAGTCGATTTCCCTGGATTTCCGTCATACATTTACTGTAATTTTACCCTCGGTAACTCTAACCCTGAACCTCCCGCTAACTCGAAGTAATTTTTTTTTTCCCTTCAGCTCATTTCTATACAATTTTACCATCGATAACTCGAACCATGTTATAAGCGAGTGACAAGTCGGGAAAAAAAACCGTGTACTGACTCCGAAACATTGAATTTATTTCAAACAACCTAGTAAATTCTTTTTCTTTACTTTTTTTTCACTCCAGTTCAAATTCAGTGTCCATTCCTGTATACTCTGTTGCTTAATTGCCTTTCCTTCCCATCCATTTGCTTGTTTCCTTACTTCCGGTTATTTGCTTCGAATTCCCGATAACTCGAACTTTTTTGCGATTTCCCTTCAAGGTTCGAATTATCGGGAGTCGATTGTACAGCCAGTAAGGCGTGCAAACAACAAGTCAGAAAACAAACCGTAACTGCATGATAAACGAAACTGGAAAAGAAAAAGGCCAAATCCAGCACAAATGCGTACAAACTAAATAACAAGCACCCCCCGGAATGGAAATTCCACGGCGGTGGGGGGTCTAAAGCAAAAGTGCCCTGCGTGGGGGGTATGGATATTTTCTGGAACTACACATTTCAGCTTGAGTTAACGTTCTTCTAACCCACTCCCCGTTCCGCCCTCATAAAACACACGATTGGACGGCTGGATTAAATATACAAAGGCAAAAAACAAAAACTCTTTGTCTATAGCATGTTCAGTGCTCACCTGAGGCAAAAAGCCTACGTCTCCAAAAAATCGCCCTGGTTTTCATACTTTCCTTTCAAAAGATGAGTCGTTTGTACCAGTTTCAAAAAAGACAAATAAATGTCACCCGGATGCTACATGTGCCAATGAAAGTGGATCCTATTCATGCAAGTGCAAGCCTGGGTACATGGGAAGTGGACATAATTGTCGCCAGTCAACCCCGAGATCCTGCTCGGAGGTCTGCAAACACCACAGCAGGAGCGGAAGCTATAGGATTGATCCAGATGGCGAGGGATTGTTGGCACCATTTACTGTGTACTGTGATATGAATGACAAAGAGGGTGTTGGCCAGACAGTCATCGGTCACGATAGTGAGAGCAGGAAGTTGGTGAGAGGATGTAACCGCCGCGGTGGTTACTTACGTGATACTCATTACACAGGAGCGAGTCTGTCTCAGTTAGCGAGTCTCACCAAAGTCCCCCTCACACTGTGA